TATTAAAATCGGTTTCCAACTTCAAATTTTAGGGGGGTGTTTCCATTAAAAATGGGTCACACTGTATATATACTTTTATTATACATATATAATATAGTTTTTGTGATTCTTATATAATCAGAAATGATTACTGAGTAACGAAATTAGTTAGCTCCCTAACTACATTATTAAAGGGGAGCTGTTGGAAGTTAGGTTGCATTATATCGTTTACTTGAACTATAGTAACGTCTACATCCATCAGTTCAATTATATGAATCTCAACGGCAGATATTTTGAAAAAAAAAACAGTGAGTTGAAAGAATTAGATTCGGTACTTTTTTAAAAAAACTATGTCATTTCCTTACAATCGGGATCCTGGAATCGAGCGTGAAGATACTTCAGCTTGAGTACTGCGTTGTTGGCATCGATGCTGTTGTTGAGGACAAATACATTTTCGGGTTTCTCTTGGAATGGAGTTCGGTTGGGTCTCAGGGGCATTTGAAATTGTTCGCCGCTCATAAGAAATAACAAATCGTAACTTATGAAGCTATTAGTATTGATAATCACCAGTTGTTCCTTGCGATCAATTTTAGTGATTTTTCCTTGTCCGATGTTTATGTAAGTCTTGAAGCTGATCATGTCCATATATCTGGCGTCCATGAAGTTTTTTTTCACCATAAAAGAATCTCGTATTCGGTTTGCAACTTTCGTGTACGCTAAACCTGTTGGGCAATGGAGAGTCACGTTGTTGAACGTCACCTAAACATTGAAAAAATATTATAATTAACAAAACTAAGAATTTTAAGTCTGGAACAGATAATTAACTCGCACCAGTATTTTACAGACTTTTCAACCTTCCTAACAAGGAAGGGGTTGATCCTTCTTGTTGAAAGATTGCTTGCATTCAGCCTATGTCCAAAAATGGCAAGAAAAATCTTCCAAATAACTATAGACCAGTCGCTTTGCTATTAGAGACATAAAAAATCATGGTGAAAGTCGTAGACCACCATATCCTCAAATATTTGGAAGGCTTTAATATCTTGAGCGATCATCAATTGGAAAAACCAAGAATCCAATATATTGCTTTGCTGACGACAGCACACTTGTTTGTTCCAGGACATTGGCGGCGGATGTACATCTTTACCGGCAGC